TTTTAAAATGTTTCAGATTGTGAAAAATTTCATTTTATTCACCAACTTCACTCCAACCATTTTTGAGAAAGACAAAGTAGGGACTTCAGTCACAAAACTGTCAGGAATGCTAGTCACCCTTTATTTAACAGTTCAGAGGTTACAGTCTTAATCACCAACCCCTCCTCTTGAAGCTGTTACTCTGTGTAAAACATTCCGATAATTACTGAGACAGCAAACGAGCATGTGAAAATAACTTTCCTGCCTCCTCTTAGCAAGCAGTCACAGCCTTTATGCAACGCTGTGTACGCTGGGAATAATCTAAGCTGAATGCTACCGCATTAGAGGTCTGGCCTTGTATGCTACACAAAAACTTCGGATACGGCTCTATATGCTAAGATCATAGTGAGGGTTAACTTGTTTGATTCATATTCAAGCGCAAGCCTTTTAGCCAGTTTAGCCAATCAATCAATATTACCAAAACTGGTAAATACCTCATTATTACCTATCATCTTTGCAAAAGAAATTCTAAAAGCAAACTTACCTCAGATGGTTCACTGACTTCTGCACCTCCCCGCGTCGTATGAGCTACGAGTTTCAGAAGATAGGGCTCTGCCTCTTCTGGTATGTCATCATTAATAATGTTCAGAGGAAGCGTTACCAGCATCTGTCCTTGATGAAAACATATCTCCCCAGTCTCTGGGATGAGGTCTGCAGTCACAGGTGAGGGATCGCTGCTATTTCGGGTTATAACCCAGGTAATGGACACATTCCCATGCGTTCCACCGCTTCTGACAATCGTGATCCCTTCAAACCTATGGTTTTGAATGAAAATATAAACTCATAATATACAATTACTTTTGGCTTGCTTAGTCATTATTCCCTGGAAGATTTACACTGACTTCAGTGGAATTAATGCTAACTGCTGCAACTGACGTTTGAGTCAGGGCTTAAAGTACGTGAAATAATAACATGCCAACAGACTTTTCTGAGTGCTTACTGTAATGTCTCCAAAGATACTCGTTAGGACTTACTTTGTTTACAGTGAGAAAGATACTGAGAAGTGCAGACTTGGCATGTTTTACATTTGTGTCAGGAAATACATGTCAAATTCCAGAACATTTTTTCTGTACTAACTTTCTACACCATTTTATAAACTATATCAAAATACAGTTGAACATTTAAATAATCATTCTGAATGAATCATTTGCCTCTGTCCTGAAATATTATTATCGATATCTATGAAACTGGAAATGTCATGTTTCCTGCATCTGACAAGCACATGACTACAACAAAAAGTTGGGGAATCACGACTTACAAAAAACTTAGAAAGCAAGATTTATTTATTTACTGTGTATAAGAAAGACAGACGAATACTGAAGTGCTGGGATCTATACTATAAAATATTCTCTCAAAATTGTTCATACAATTGTTCATCCCCTACTCCTCTGGGGATGAACTACCACCAGTAGGTAGCAGTGGACATTTTTATTGAGACTGTCAATATTGTGTATCAGTCCTGCCTGTAAAATTTGTACAGAGCTTTCATTTTAATCTCTCTGTAAAATTGCAAATATTTAACTTATTTTTAAGTTTAAGGTAAGTACTTCATGGGAGACACTCAACACACTTTTTTTAAACCAGAGACTGATTTTATATATACTAAATACAAAGATTTACCAGGGAAATAAGCCAGAAATCTATTTCCCACTTGCATGAACTGGTGTGTGGCAGCATCATGACTTCATTGATCTTGCCTTTAGATTAAGGCTTTTTTGGTATTCTGATAATGTGATTAAATATTTACAGTTTCTACATACAGTTCATAAATATTAAAATACTTCCTGTACAGTCAGACATTTCCGCTTCCTTGGAATCTTTGTAGATATAGTTCATAATAACACACTGAGTGATTTCTACATTATGTTTTCAGTAGTGATTTTGTAATTACTTTCAATGAAATCCTACGGACGCTTAACAATGCCGAACAAATCTCTTAAACTGAGTAGATACTAGATTTGAAGATCTGTAGTACCTTGAAATTTGGTCTTCATCAATAATAACAGTCTGAGCAAACAGGATACTGTTGATTGATAGTACTCCATAGGGTTTATCGTTCGGTTGGATGGTGACATGAGTAACAGATGGATTAACCAAAACAGCATCTCCCTGCAAAGTGTCCTTAAGAAGCATAATCTGAAAGGTCTCAGCAATTTCTGGTATGGCATCGTCAAGGATCTTAAATCTTATATAAGTTTCATGAACTAGAGGTGGGAAAACAATAGTTGTATTTGGCTGTAGATCTAGGAAGTCGACATTAAGCTGTGCATGTGCTGTTGAATTCCCAGTTACGATGGCGTAAGTGACAGAGACTTCATATTCATCAGGTCCAATTAATTTTCCACTGTCATCCTTACCACGAACCACTTGAACTGTCAGCACATCAACTTCCTCGGGCACCATATAAGCACTTCGAACAAAACGCACAGGGCTGTCATTTTTCTTAATATTAATCTGAACAGAATTTTTTGTGTTGTTGATTTCAGCCCCTCCCTCCACGTTCCTCAGACGAACAACAAACAATTCATCATTTTCAGGTATCTGGAAAAATAATATTAGCAACTGTGTGTAAATCGCATTTCAAACATATGCAGAACACTCTTACTGACTAATATGGTTTATATATTTTGCAGAAAAGGGAAATAATACAAACTGTACAGCTCATTTGATATTAAAACAAACAGGAGAGAAGTCTTGCTTTTAACTTTGGATTAAAATCACTTCTCAAAATTGAATGTTTCAATTTTCTAAAACATACTTCTGTGCTCCACCAATCTGAAAAAAGGTAGAAAGCCAAATAAAAGCAAAACAAAAACAAGGCAAGAATCAGAAAAAGCTGGATCTTTCCAACTTTAGACTATGATGAGATCCAAGCTCTACTTTTGGAAGCAAGTGTTCCTCCCCCTTATTAAGATTTACATCTTGATTTTCTGAGGCTGACACTGATTTGCCTCTACACATGCCTGAGAGAACACATGAACTACTTACAGACACAACCTAGCTCGGCTCATCTATTCATAAACAACTGGAAAAGGAACACTTCCTATATTCAGGCACACCCACCTCCCCAGAGCAAATTTCCATCACAGATCTGAGAAAGTGTTTTCTGGTGCTTAGCAATTAATTAGGCTTTGGCATTTCTGCAAGATGACTGCTTAAAACTACATTTTAATTTCAGCTATTTCGTCTCCAATAACTGATGCAGCAGACAATAAAGAATGGCTTATAAACTGCAAATTACATAACTTAAAGATAAGATTTTTGCTTTATATTACTACATTTTACTCCCCAAATTTTGATCTGCTAAACCTATTTAACTGAAAAAAAAGATTGTTTTATTAATACATATCGGTAAATGTAAATCTTTAAAAACTGTTTATGAACTTTGCATCTCTTCCTTGCTGTGGACTTCTAGAAGCTAGTATTATTTGCTTCTGAGGGGAATTCCAGGACAAAATTACTTATTTTTTGCTAATGGTTATACTCTATTACGACATTGACAAATCTTCTCATGCACTTTTGTTTACTGAGCTAAAAAATTCTGAAAACGTTGCTGTCCAATATTTCTTCTTTTTCATACCCATTTGTTAATTGGCCACCCTCAGATCCTTCTTAAGGGCTAAGAGAGTGGGCATGCAACTGCCTTTAGAGCTGATGCCAATTCCGTCCCTTGTTTGGCTTGCAACATGTAAACTTGCATAATTTTGTCAACGGATGCAGGTTTTCTCGCCAGCGTGAGACCTGAAGCTCTCAGTCACCTCTCTCCTATACTGAGATACAACAGTTATTTTACCTTATTAGAATAGTTACTAACTTACATTTCATTTAGTTCACTAATTAATATGCCATATTGCAGCATAAAAATATACATTTAAGAGATAGTCAAAACATATGCACAATTGTAGTTGTAGTTTACATCTTGGTATCTCATATAAATGGGACATTCTGTAGTTCTTAATGGCATCACAATTGAACAATAAAAAAAACAGTCAAACTTCAAAGACAACAGTATAAAGGATTTCTAGTGCTGCCTTTCCTCTTTCATTTTCTCTTAACAAAGTTTCCATTATCCCTTACTAAAACATAAAATGTATAGAGTAAAATTACCGTAAGTGTAGTGTGGAGATCAGAGCTGCAGTCCCCTAATTTCTATAGGAAAAGACTACCCAATGCAGAAAAATACTTTTTTCATTGTTTTCGCTAACTTGAGATTCTAACAAATCAAACTAAGTTCTGAAAGTAACATTGGATTCTTGTGAATTCATCATCAACAATAAGGGGGTTTTATGCAAAATTAATCCTTCATGTACGCCTGTGAAACACTTTCACTGAGTGGACCAGCCATATCTGTACAGATCAAACTTTGAGAAACACAACTCGAGAGCATTTCTCAGAGGGAAAAAACCCCATATCCTCCCAAAAAGCCTAAAGAGCTCCTTCTCTGTGCAAGTCACAGAAATATTACCTTTAATCTGAAAGAGACGCTTCTACACACCAGTCTGGCACAGTCTCATTATAACATTAAAAATGTCAGTATAGATGTGGAAAAATACTTTTTATAACTAACAGAAATATGAAAAAAATTGCTTTTAAAGGTGCTCACTTCTGAGATAGGCACTGCCTTGCTATGAATCTTTTCTTGTGAAATTTCTTTATTAAGGTGTTCTGTGTCATATTTACTTATTTTGGTGCCTCTATTTTCCTCCTTATCTCATCTCCATTATAAAGAAGAAAAAAAAAAACAACAGAAAATAAAATCATGAGTAAGAAAAGCCAAAATCACAAATTGAAAAGTAGAAGAATGTGTTTTGTTTACTCTGAAATAGAAAGAAAGGCTCAAAACTTATCAACATATTTTTTAAAGACCAATCTAAAAATTGAAAATTTTTAATTATCACCTAGTGTTCATACTCTTCACAAGATTGCCTGTTTCTTTTAGGATCCTTACCTACTTCTAGAATTACTTTTAAAAATATGTTTCTACCCCTGAAAAATCTCTCTCTATATATCTCTATAAAAACATGTAAATTTTTTCGATCTTTTCTCTGTGAATATTCCACGTGTTGAATTATTTCTTTAGTGGCAAACATAACATGGCTGCTCTTCACATGAATGAGAGCCAGTCAAGCTAACAAAAAATAAACTGGATTCTTACGCATTGTTAACTGAAGGCAGAGGAGCTGCACAGGCATCACTGAGGATGTAATCAAAAATGCATCATGTAATCAATGTTATGATTAGGTTTCTTTTGCCTAAACAACTAATAAAGACTAAAAGGAGAGCCGGAGTTCGTTATGAAAACATAGGTTGAATTCGCAAGGCAGTCAATTGGGGAAAAGCAGAGCACATTTTAAAAAGAAATACAGAAAAGTTAAATATAGAAAGGACAGTCTAACAGATAAACATAGATCTGGTTCAAGAATGGCCTTGGCCATACAACAAAGACCTCGTTATTCCATCTGAAAAAAAAAGTATAATGCATACCTGATTTTTATATATTTATGCAGTAGTACTTAACAGGTATAGTCAGAGCAGGCAGGGTATGTTCAGAAACTAAAAATATTCTCTGATGAGAATTACAGAGGTAGCATTAGAAGTAAAAATGATAGCCCATAGAGCCAAAATCTGACATCACTTTATTAAATAGAATTACTTTTAACCTTACTTAAACCAAGCATTTTTGTAATTTATTACTCTTAAGTCTCTCCAAAACAGCAGTTAACCTCCTACTTATCCAAACCAAAAACGGAGTCAGCTTGTTCCTACCTCCTCATCAAGCAGTGTTAAATTATAAATCAGCATTGATCTCCCAGGGGTAAATGTAATATTTCCCCTAGCTGGACTTAAGTCTTCTTCAGCTGGGTTTGGTCCATCTTCTATCTGCAAAGAATTGATCTTTATAATTAGAAATATGTAAAACGGGAATACAAATCTAGTACAAGTATAACAATCAATGCACAGTGTGTGTCACGCACAACAAACCACTATACATTCAGTCATCTCCTGCTCACAGGCACACACATTCATTTGTGAAAATCTGCTCTTTTCTGGCAGGTTAATTCAGAGTAACCACTCTGAAGAAATTATGTATTGCCAGAAAAAGAGGAAGAAAACTACTTCCATATAGGCCTATGAGTACTCTTTTGTACCTACTGATGCATAATTGACTTTCATATAACAGAAAGGGTATTAATTCTAATTTAACGTAAATCACTAGTATTTCATAAAAAGTTCCAAGACAAAATTCACTAGTATTTCATAAAAAGTTCCAAGACAAAATAATATCAGTTACTGGTTTTGCATCCTTTCTATCTTGACTTCCAATATTAGGGATATTAGATTTAATAGTGAAACCTAAAAAGACTATGAAGCCACTTAGAAGCAATATGGTGATTTTTTAAAGAAAATCTTGTAATTTTTTTTTTTCCCAGCATATGTATATAAATTACACTGTGAGATGGACCTGATTAACTGTGCAGATAGTAAAATTTGCTGGACCTTAAAACAAACAGATCTGCAATAAATTACACAGAGAATCTCATTCTGTACATCAACAGTACATGCTATATTTAGTATATTATTAAATCCAGTACAAATCTTTCAGATTTTGACAGGTCTAGATTAGACCCTTGATGTCATATGAGATCAAACAACTGATAAAGAAATATCCATATGAAAGAATTTATATATAATTTTAAATTATGTAATAGAATCAGAGCTAGATAAGGGAAAAAAAACAATAAAGATAATAACTGTATGACAGTCAAATCAAGTGCATACATAACAGCCCAAATATTCAACAAGAGTAATTATTTTGAAGGTTTAGTTTCTGGGGATTCAAACTGCAGACTTACAGATACAGAATTTCACTAAATACTGAGCTCTCATACTTACATGTTTGAAGTTGGCACAAGCATTAAAGACTCACTCAGATGTTTATTTGTAAAATACAGATAAAATTTAAAGAAATATTAAATAAGACATTTATTACACACTTAATACACATTGTCTTCTAGTAATACCAACTAATGCTGCCTCAAATATCTTCCTAAGTGACAGAATACAAATATTTCTCTAATATCTCTTTAATTTTTCCTCAAATTAAACTGTCACATAATTACAATATTTTCCATTAGACAGGTAATATCTTTCCATTTTATGAAACAGGTTTAACAAATGTAGACGTGGACATTTTGCCCTTGTTTCACTTTTATAAAACACTTTAATGATTGTGGCCTCACAATTCCATGCAACAGACTTGGGCAGGAAGCCTTTTTGAGAAACTCACCTCAAAAGTTACGGTGACCGTCCCATAGGTTCCCCTCTCCCTAATTAGAGTGAGAGGCACAAATTCGTTTCTGCCCCTGGGCTCATTCACTGTGATTAAGGCAGACTAATGAGGAAGAAGAGGGACAGGCAATCAGGCACAGATCAAATATCACAGCAGAAGGAAGAAACTGTTACCATAGAAATACCAAACTCCCACAGACAAGTTAATCCAATCTGCAAAGCAGTGCAGTGATGGCATACATTTCCTAGCAACCAATTAGTTCAGCTAATAAAAAGCTTGAAAGCTTTCAGATAAAAAAAATTATCATAAGTTATGCAAGTATAGTGGGGGTTTTTTTGTAAGTTAACAGAGTCAATATACACAAAGCACTGGCATATTAGCACTGGTATTTATGGGAGCTCCTAAGCCCATTAAAAATAAGTTTTCTCCATTAAAAAGTCATTTATAGGATAACTAGCTATAAATGGATTCTGTCTATCAAATTGTTGTAGGTGAAAGGTTTCAGAGAATTACACCAATTCAGGACCAGCATGTCTTAGTACCGTGCTACTAAAAATTTCTCATATTCTTGTGCTTTTTCAGCGAAGTCCTCTACAAAAATTACATCGCCATAATGCTAGCAAGAAGGCACAGCTTCTCCTTCTACTAACACGAGCTCTGTATTATTGCAAGTACCCTCTGCATCACCACAGTCACACCAGTGTCTTACCACAAAAGGTAGTATACAACGCATATAACATCAGAGTGTTCTCTCAGCTTGAGAGTTAAGTATAAAACTGCCCACTGAAGATAGGAAAATACCTATATTCTCAAGATTTTCAAACTGCATCTTTAGCTTTCCTGTGGCATTACTCTTCACTTCTTCCTTACTATATTAACATCTTGAATTACAGATGAGGAGCAGTGAGACTGAACAACTTTTTAAAACTTTTACATTTAAGATGAGCAACATAGATATTCATCCAAGTGTGAGGGCCTTAGGCGATGTCTCAACACCTAAAGGCATACAGAAGTATTAAAGCTGTATATGTGTATGAATTTCATACATATGTATGAATTACTTTTAGAGATGTTTCAAAGACATAACTCAGTATCAGGTTTTTAGTATATAATTAAATACAGTGCAAATCTTTTCAGATTTTGACAGGTCTAGATTAAACCCTTGATGACGTATAGGACCAAACAACTGATAAAGAAATATCCATACAAAAGCTCTAATATTAGAGCTATTATATAAATATATATATATTAGAGCTCTGATATTAAAAGCTATTCCTAGCACAGTTGTTCAGCTGAACAACTAACTAGCATCTTTGAAAATTTCACCTTTATGCTTTCTAAAATTTTTACATATATCATATAAAAAGCCATACCATGTTAAAAGAAATTATTCCAAAGGCATTGTCATTTGATAAGATTGTTACAGTGACATATTTGGGTGAGCCAAGCTTTATCCTTGCAGATGGTTTCTAAAATTAACAAAACAAAATAAGGTATTAAATATGGTGATGGGCAAAAAATACACACTTTTATTTTACAGTCTTTTAAGAGCAAATATCAGCCTATAACAAATTCTATGCCTTTTTATTATATATTACAATGGAAATTATTTAAAGCAATAGAATGCACCAAAATAATCCTTAATTATTGAGGAAATACACTCTATATAGTGAACAACAAAGGGCTTGAGACAAGTTTCATATATCATTTAATTTATGAAATTAAATAATTTCATAATTAATTAATCATAGTTTGGCAATCTATTATTGACACCATAGCAATAGGGAACTAGCTATGAAGCATGTAGCACTGCCAGGAACTCCAAAGTTGTTCTTTTTTTCCTAACATTCGTATAAAACTGATACTCTGAAGCTATTATACTGAGATATCAGCTAAAGGAAACAAGCCTTTATAGTGTTGTAAAAATGAGCTACATTTAGAAGTCAAAGGAAGAAGGAAGGGAAAATATGCATTTTTATATGCACTGCAAACATCCCCTGAGATGCATAATAACTCGCAATAAACCATAAAATTTATCTTTGCTGAACTGACATCAAACTTAGTCATGAACTGTTACCCCCCCAAAAAAAGTTAATGTGAACCCCTGTCTTGTAGCATGACTCCTGCAAGACAGAACAATATGAAGACATTTATTGTTAAGCATTTAAAAATTTAATTTTTAAATATTTAAAAAATTGTTTGGTTTTAGGTAAGTCATTTCCCCTCTGCTTCAGGAGGGCTGGAAGTCATCCTCTTTCTTTTGCCACTTCCACCCTCTCTTCCAGGTACGGTCTATGCAGGAAAACAGGAAAGACTGAGCGTCTCTTCACAATCTGACTCTTCTGGCCTCTAGTACATCTTCAAGTGTCCACAGCTGAACACAGCACCCGTTGAGGCGTCTGACTATGCCTGTGCTGCACAGCAACATCACACAGAGACACCCACAGGAATGGCAGAACCTTCTACAGAGCAGCAGGCACCATCCTGGAGAGGCTCCAGATTTTAGTTCTTACCTATTAGGATTCAGACTCACGAGCAGCACCACGACATTGAAATCTATGGAATACCATCAATTTATGTCAGGTCACCCAGTGTTTTCTAGGGAACAGATCAACTGAAAAATTGAGACTTACTGGTAGTGTCAAGTAAAATGTGAATGTCTCATCAGCCTCTGGGAGATCATCATCACAGACAGATATGTACACTGTTCGGTTTGTTTCTGTATCAGGTATAAATGCAGCCGCATATGTGTCAAAAAAGTCTCCTGTGTTTTCTCCATCAATCTGCAATAAATACACAACTGAGTGCCACCTCCTTCTTCCCCCACTATCTTCTATAATAGTATTCTGGACTCATTTAACAGACTTCATACTCTCTTCTTTGCACATAATTCTTCCTGCAATTTTCCCTGCTGTCATACAGTTGATTTCTGGACAGAAGGTATAGACAATAGCCCCTCGTACCCATGCTGAGTAACCAGGAAAAACAAAACAAGCCAAACATGACACTTCATTCAGAACCATTTATGACTTCCTTCCTTGCAACTGGGTATCTTTTGCATAATGCACCGTATGACCTTTTTTTTTAGTGGGAAAGCTATTCCTAGCACGGATTTGGGTATCTTATAATACTCTACTGGAGTTAAACTCACCTTAAGATATAACTGCCCTCTGCCTTCCTGTCTCATTCTAGGGACTAGAAGGAGCCCAGGCATTTAACCTGGAGTAACATTTTGATCAACAAAGTTGGCAAGATGAAGTATTCTGTAATGAACAACCCTGCTTTCATTTCAGTCAACAAAAGAAAACCCCACTGATTCTGCTGTAAGGTGGTTGGAGTAGAGATTACAAAAGCAATAGTGTCAAGACAGCGAAGTGTCTAAGTTAAGCTCACAGTTGGAAGCTGAGACTAAACGGATGGAAGCAACTGAGAGCAGCATAGCTGCCGCACCTGAACTTACCACCCTTAGAGGCACTAAAGGTTTGAATGAACCATTGTGAAAAAGGCTATTCTTCTTTTGAGAACAGTGAAATTAAAAGTTCCGTGAAGAGGAAATCAAGTATGGAAGGTATTTTTGTGGCTCTCACCTATCACTGGACATACGGGCAAGTACTTTTTATGTATCTGAGCCAACACTAGACTTACCAAAAAGCTCTTACAAAAACAGGCTATAAACATCTTCCTAAAAGAGCTGCTCAAAATATTCATGTTAGAAGCAAATTGTGGAATTTCAGGTCCTTAATAAGGAAACTAAGTCACTCTGCTTGTTACACCAGTAAAGAGCACTTGCTTCAAAGTACAATCACATTTTGTCAAGGTTTTCTCCTCAGATGGTAATAGTGTGAAATCCATACAGATCCATTTCTATTCCTTGTAATTTCTAAGGCATATGTTTTTCCTATTTAATTACAGGAGAATAAAATATTGTTCAGGAACATAGATAATTTCTTTTGTCTACAGACTGTAGAAATTCATAAGCAGTACATCTTCTCTGGTACACCGCTGTGCTCTCATGTGATACTCATACCACATAGCATCTTACCCCATACACATATGGTATAGCACAGGTTAAGGGGTTTAAACTTTTAAAGGGAATACAATTGAGATCATAGTTAATAACAGCTAAGAAATAAAGGAAGTAATGTAAAAACACTAACTCTGATCTCCCAATGAATACAACAATGTAGTTTTAAAAATTCATATGGAAATCTGACTCAAACACTGGAGTAGCCATTAAACTGCATGTTCTAAAGTAAACTGAAAAATTGTTATATATCCACGTTTTCAGTATGAACTCACAAGCACAATCAAAATCAAACACACTTATCAGTTCCGACTTCTACTGAGCTGTAGGAGCTCACTCCTTGAAGAGGTGTTTATACCACTATTTTGAAACTACTGATGCAGGCAGCAGGGATTTACTC